CTTCCTTTTTCCACCATGAACTCCATGACTAAGGTAAGTATTCTTGAAGTTGGTTGTTTCTTTCAATTTTGAATTGGTTTTGAGTCTTTGAGTGGTATAGAAGCTTAAGAAAGTTTATAGATGACTAAAAACTATGAGATTGATGAGTTAATGATAATTTGGTAAAATGAGTTTTTATGGGAGTTGATGAAATTTGGTTAGTAATTGGGTTTTAAAGGTATATTTGACTTGTCAAAGATTTGAATAAGATGTTTGAAGTGTTAGAAAGGATTGGGAACAATGTTGAAGATGGGGTATGATTTTTAGTTTTAAGCGTTCAAGGGAGAATTTTAGATGTTAAAGGGATTTTAATTGATTTAAGTTTGTTGGAATAAGTGTAAATGAGTTTAAGGGCATGAATGGAGTTAGAAGTATAAGATTTAGGTGGATTTTGGGTTAAATTCGAAGTAGAATACGTGAAATCTGGGCAAGGGTATCTGTACTGGAAGAACAGTATTGATACCATATGAATTGGATGAACAACATCGGCACTGAAGGAGTTGTATCGATACTAGGGGTATCGATACCAATAGTATGGTATCGATATTGTAAGTGGATATGAAATTCCAGAATGCAATTTGGGTATCAATACTAAGGTAGGTATCGATACAATAGAAGGGAAGTATCGATATTGGGTGTAGAGTACCGATACTATTCAATCTGAAATTGAGAATTAGGTGTTTTATTTAGTTATGTAAATGCTGATTGGTTAACAATTAAGTGAGCTCCGATATTCATCGTGGTCATGTTATCATGTAGATTCGATCGAAAGCAAGTGCTAAATGAATTGACGTATAAAGATAAAGTGAAAGTGAAAAGGAGTTGCTTAGAGCTCAAGTGAGGCAAATGTGAGTGCTACTTGTTTTATACACGATTGGAGGACGGCTTGCGATGAGCCAACCTCAAATGTTTTTAAACAAAATGATTTGTATTATGTTATGATTTTAGCTAAATCTTATTTTAAAAGCACTGTTTTGATTTCATTGCTATGAGTATATATACTATGTGAAATGCAATGAGTAATTGTTTTATGTGAATAAATGATAATTTGAGTAATGCTATGTGAAATACTATGAGTATATGTTTTATATGAACAAATGACAATTTGATTAATACTATGTGAAATAATTAAATGGTTAAAGCCCAAAGTATGTGCTATGAGAATTAGAGGTATAATTGGCATGCCAAAAGTCGAGGGTTCTACGCGGTCCTTCGGGACAAACCTATGTGGCACTTCGGTGCAAATTCTACGCGGTAGTTTCGACTGCAATTATAGTGCACAACCTCAAAGTACTAACATACTTTGAGTTCTTAGTGATATACATTGGGCTAATTAAACAATGTTTAATAATAAATGTTATATGTTATGAAATGAATTTTATTTTTGTATTTAATGTTTCTTCTAAAATATTTACATAAATGTTTTAATGTTTTATTATACTCATTTATGTCTCACTAAGTCAAAGAGTTAGTGTCTGAGTGTTTTTACACGTAGCTTCAGAGAATGCATCAGAGTAAGCTAGGGCAGGACATCATACCTTTGAAGAATATCATATCAGACTGGATTGAATAGTATGTGAATATGTTCTTTGAAATTTGGTTGGCATGTACTACAAATGTTCAAATAGCAAATGCTCTGATATGTCTTGTAAATATGTTTTATTAAAATTTGTTTTCATTGTCAAATAAAAGTAAAATTTTAGTCGGATTTTCAAAGAGTCACAGCATTGAAAAGTCAATGTGACACCTCAAATTCGTATCGGGTCGAGTACGGATAGGGGTGTTACATTTTCATAATCCAACTTTTTAATAATTTTCTTTGTTTTTTAATATATTTGGAAAACCTTTAGTGTTATAAGTTGTTGAAGATTAATAGTAGGGGTAAACTATTTCATACCGGCCGATCTTAGTTTTATATAAGATTTATCATTAAACTTTAAATTAATATAATATACCATCAAACTTTAGTTATATATGCTATTTTATTACTTGACCCTTAAGTGGTAAACCGAGTTGATATGGTCGTTTTTTTCTATTAAATTTTGTTTGTGTATCAATTTTACGTTTATATTTTAGAATACTTCAATTTTAAGTTTTGAATTTTTGGACCGTCATCAATGATAAATCGTTGTCTGTCACTAGTTGTTATTTACTAAAATATCAATGTTAATATATTCACATTTCACTATTCTTTCTATTATTTAGATTGTTTTTTCTTCATAAAATTCACTCAAAATTAATGAAAAATTATCAGAAGGATTGATATGCTAATATTTTGGTTTTCTCTAATGGATGTCCAATGAGACTAATTTTGAGGTAATTTGTTAAACTTCTCAAAATAATATTTTTCACGGTCTAAATATTTAAAAGAAACACCCCAACTCTCTCAAATCCAAGAAAGCCCTCAAACCCTAAAAGCAATAGATTTTTGTGTTTAATTTCTCGGGTTTTAAAAAAGTTTTGTAGAAATATAAATCTACAGAATGGTAGAAGACTATGAGATGAGTTCTTCAGTGTCAGACTGTCAGTGTGATCGCAAAAGAAATCAATGAATGTCGATTTTTGACGGCGACTAAAAATAGGTGAAAAAAATCCTAACTTTAATATAAAAAAAATGATGAAATAGAATGAAAAACTAATATTTTAGCTTCCACCTCAACCCGTTAGTACTAAGATGATGAAATCAATGAATACATATACACTCAGATAGGGATGGCAATGGGTCGGGTCGGGTCGGGTTTTTGGTCCACCCGACCTGATTCGAGAACAAGGGAACCTCTACTCGAGACTTGATCCGACCAAAACAAGGTCTCACCCGACCCGACCGGATCAGATCTGAATATATGACTTAGAAACCTGACTCGATCCGAAATAATAAAAAAAATTATTTTTATTCAATAAAAATAGTGATTTAATTGAAAAAAATTATATATAGAAGGGTATTATTATAATTATTCCTAAATATATAAGGTAAAATTATATATTTTTCGGGTCGGGTATTTTTCACCCTAAACCCAAACCCGACCCAAATATTATACTTAAAAAAACCCGATCCGACTCGAACTCGATTTTTTTATAAAAAAATCCGACCCGGTCGGGTCGGGTTGATTGGCCATCCCTACACTCAGACCTTAAGAAGCAGTCCTTTGAATGAAGAATCTCAATGTCGGGATTCAAGGGAAGCAATTAAGAAAAATCATAGCTGGCCAGTTGGGCGTGTCCCAGAAGAAATGGGGCATGTGCAAGACCAGACATCGTAGCACCCACATGTTATGTACCGTACGTATTACCGAACAAGAAAAACTTGATGTTTTTGCATCATATACTTCAATCTACGAAGGTGTTGATCAATTACATGATGAGAGAAAAACATATATTAAAACGTGAGAGATACATATTTGAGTTCAGTTCCTGTATATTAACAGAGGATTCCAATTCTGAATCTTATATATATTTTCTTGGTAAAACTGTTTAGTAATAGTATTAGTTGACAAGATAAGTTAGTCTTTTCGGATTGAACTTGTTGATTTAATATTGCAGATAAGAAGTTCCCTGCCAGTTTCAAGATGACTAAGCACAAATAACAAAAAATTTTATCTTTTGAATTATATAATTCAATCTACAAAGGTGTGGATCGATTACAAGATGAGAAAAATTGCTTCAGAAGCTCCGTGTTGGCAAGTCTTGGCTCATTTCTTGCTGATATAGATATGACGATGAGCAACGACCGCTGCTTACTGACATGATCAATGCTTTCTCCACTTCTTTACTCGGTTTCCTTTTGATGAGATCAATTACATATTCCATAAAGTTTGCATCACATGGCAAGATGAGATGCCCATCGCTTGGTAGCCCAAACTCTTCTTCTGCCAAGTTGAACAGCTCCATCACTATTTTGTTCTTTAAATATTCCAAAGGAAGCACAAAGCGCTTCTGATCCACGCTGTATACAACAAAGTGACCCTTATCGACCATCGATGATGTGCTGCAATTGTTTGTTTCAGCCTCCATTGTGGTTTTTGGTAATGTGATTCTTTTTCTCCTAATTGAATCCATTTTCTTGCTAACTTGATAAGCTTCTTGGCACTGATCATCTCGCTTTACTTTGTTTAGTAGGGAATACTATGATGAAGGTAAAAAAAGAGGGAAGTTTTAGGTCTTAGAACTCTGATTGCTAAATGCAGTGGTTGTGCTTGGTATGAGGCAATGGAATTGGGATGAATATATAATCACAAGGCCTAGAGACAATCCCTTTAATGAATTATTAAATTTCAGGTATTCATTGCAAACAAAGCCATGTGATGGCAGATATTAGGTCTAATCTGCAAGGGGGCTTGCCTGATTTTGTTGGATGATTAGCCCAACAAGGTGGAGCATAGAATACAGACACATATTTATCTATCTTCCAAGTGGCTTAACAGAAAATGGTCCAATGTTGGATGATTCATAATTGATTGGTTATCACATATTTCAACACTTGATCCTCTTTAGATAAGATTTATTGCTTTAAATAGTAATAACAGAAACCATCACTCAAGCAAATTGCCACCTGTCTTTTGTCCCTCTCAAGTCTGATCTGTTTCAAGACCTTCCTGTCACTTGTCCATGGGGGCAATCTCTTCCATGTAGTTCTCATTGAAGATCCGGTGGATGCAAAACCATGTGATGGTAGGAGAGAAATACTTCATGTGTTGATCGTCCTATTAGTTTCTGCCAGTGGCACATGGAGTTTGAATGTAAAGAGGGCACTGTCCTTTTTTGTCATGCCAAGTGGTCTAGTTGTCATATATGAAATAATCCCTGATACTAATTATGAAGGTGATTGTTTCTGGTGCACGGAACATATAAGATGATGAACCATGATCATTAGCTATGTATGTGTAACGACGAGAATAGGATACTGATGTACGCTCCTGTGGGTTGAGCGCAACGAAAATAAGATGTCATTATCCACAAACAAGCTACTGGTGGTGTGTCTGTCCCTGACGGAAAGAGGTGCAAACGGAGTACCGAGTAGGAAAAATGGAACTAAGCAGAGCTTTCTCCAGGTGTATTTCCATCCCTTGTTGAACAATAGAGACTACGTACTTGAACAAGGCTGAATCGCAGGGCAACATTATAGGACCATGAATTGATAGGCCAAACTCTTCCTCAGACACCTTTAAGAGTTCAACAAATACATTATTTCTGAGATACGACAGGGGCACAACATGGCGCTTCAGATCTGTCGTGTAGATGACAAAATGACCTTTTTCAGCCACCGATGGTTCATCAATGCCACCAGCTCTAACTTTTGCATTAGACGTCCCCAGTGAAGAAAATCTCTTTCTCCCCTTGACGATCATTTCATGCCATTTCTTTGCCATTCTGTCAAGTTTCTTGCTGCTGCTGATCATTCTGGCCGTAATCTCTATCTTACAAATGTAAGTATGTCCTTGCAATCAATTTGTCACTTCACCATATATACATGCAAGATTGAGGATCGAAAAAGTCCTTGGAGTTTTCGCATTGCTGAGAATTTCTATGGAAAGTACAGTTAGTTATTACTATTTTTCACGGAGTCTACTGTCTAGAAAATTCCATGCTTTGCATTGCATTGATATAAACTAAGGAGTCAGATGAGTTGCACCTTCAATGCTACAGCCAAATTATGTTTTTATATGTTGGTTAAAACCTATGCGTTGGAATTCCATTAGAATTTTGTCGCCATATGCCTTTAGAACTCCTTTTTTACAAGAATCCTAGTGTAATTTTTCTGTTTCAATACCCAGAAACAAGTTGTTGGCTTGGCTTGAACATCCTTGAAGAAAAGCACAAGATCATGAACAGTAGTTGTACCTTATACTTGCTTCATTTGGATGACCGTTGAGATCCTCCCATTTCACCATCGGCGTGCACTTTGTCGAGAAAACCAACCTAAATTTGTTAGGGAACCAACAGGCCTAGAGGGAATTCCTCTTAATTTGTCTAGTAGCTAAAGACACAGCAGATGTTAAAAGCATCTCCGTTGTTTACCGATGTCAGTGAAAACCAATTTACAATCATCTATTCTGCTTCATAGAAATGATCAATTTACTTGGAGTGATCAATGCAAACAGGAGATTTAAAACAAGAAACAAATTCTTTGAGAAGTTATAGTTAAGATAAAAATATGGATGATTTCCATTGCAGATAACTGAGTATGAAACAAAAATCCGGAATTTTCTCATTACATGTCTTAATGTACAGTGCCATTTGATTTTAGGCACTCAATGTTAGCAACTGTTGTCTTGTTTGCTGAAAGGGATACGATAATGATGAGCAACGGACACTGACTACAGACATAATCAACGCTTTCTCTACTTCTTTACTTGCTTTCTTTTTGATCAACCCAATGACATATTCCATCAAGGCTGAATCACAAGGCAAGGTGAGATGTTCACTGCCTTGAAGCTCGAACTCCTCTTCTGCCAGCTGGAACAACTCCATCACAATTTCGTTGTTCAGATATTCGAATGGAAGCACAAAGCGCTTCTCATCAGAGCTATACACCACAAAGTGACACTTCTCGACCTTTGATGATGTGCTACAACTGTTTGTGTCAACTTTCCCACTGGTTCTCGAGAGTGTGATTCTTTTTCTCTTGATTGCTGCCAGTTTTTGCCATTTCCTTGCCAATTTGATAAGCTTCTTAACACTTATCATCTTGTTTCTCTTTTCAAAATAAGGAAGGCTATTGTAGAACAAGAGAAGAGAAAGTAAACATCGAAGGGAACGGAAAGCTTCTGTTTAGCTGTACTGATGAAAATGGAAAATTGATGATATATATATATATATATATATATATATATATATACACTCACGTGTTCAAAAGCAGTCCTTTGAATGAACCATTTCAATGTCGGGATTCAAGGGAAGCAAATAAGCAAAACCATGTAGGTCGAAAATGTGAGAGATCATTTAGAAGGCAGCCAGTTGGGCATGTCTGGTGAGTAATGGAAGTGGTCCAATCCTTTTTTCCAGAACCGTGGCATGTGCAGGACCCAGCATCGTAGTACCCATATGATCTAGATATATTACCTAACAAGAAAATATTGTGGTTCTAGTTTACTAAGAATCCTGACTGATGGCTTTATCTTTGCCCCCAACAAACTAATAAGATTGAAACGTCTCCAGGCTGTTATGCTTTTAGATATCCCATAAAGTAATCTATTTCACATCGATCTGTCTGTAAATGGCTCCCATAGATGGCTAACAGTGAGACCATGGTCGCCATCATACTTTATGTACTGAAGTTTTCGAATTGCTGGGTCGAATTTGGTAGAATTTTACTTCAACTCAATGCTCAGATGATAGGCTCCAGAGGTTATACTTACTTCAAATCAAAATTTGCTTCTTTTCCCTTTAATTTGTTGTCTTCTAATCTCACCGAAATGGGTGAGGAAGTTTCAGAATGCTGCTTCTATGACGTGTAAAAAGGGAATTTATTTATCTGCTAATGAGAGAAAAGAAAACATATATTAAGACATGAAATATAAATATTTAAGTTCATAACAAATAACAGAGGATTCCAATTCTAAATCTTATGTACATTTTCTTGGTAAAACTGTTAAGTAATAGCATTAGTTGACATGATAAGTCACTCTTTCTAATATGAACTTGTTTATGTAATATTGTATATAAGTAAGAAATAAGCATAAGAACTAAGCATAACAGACAAATTTTAATATGAACTTGTTTATGTAATATTGCATATAAGAAGTATGAGAGAGAAATTTTGATGTTTTTGCATTATATACTTTAATCTACAAAGGTGTGGATCAATTACAATACAATAGAAGGGGGGGAAAACTGCTTCAGAAGCTCCATATTGGCAACTGTGAGTTCATTTCTTGCTGATAAAGATATGATGAGCTGTCACGACTGGCGCTTACAGACAGGATCAATGCTTTCTCCACTTCTTTACTTGGTTTCTTTTTTATCAGAGCAATTACATATTCCATAAAGTTTGCATCACAAGGCATGAGGAGAATCCCATTGCCTGGTAGTCCAAACTCTTCTCCTGCCAAGTTGAATAGCTCCATCACAATGTTGTTCTTAAGATATTCCAAAGGAAGCACAAAGCGCTTCTGATACACAGTGTATACAACAAAGTGACCTTTGTCGACCACCGATGATGTGCTGCAACTGTTTGTTTCAGAATCCCTCGAGTTTCTCGGTGATGTGATTCTTTTTCTCCTAATAGACGCCATTTTTTGCCATCTTTTTGCTAACTCGAATAGCTTCTTAGCACTGATCATCTTGCTTTGCTGGGTTTACTGCGAAGGACTCTGAGATGAAAGGAAGAAAAAAATGGAATTTTTAGGTTTTAGAACTCTGGTTGATAAATGCAGTTGTCATGCTTGATGTGAGACAATGCAACCGGGATGAACTTATATAATCACAAGGCTAGAGACAACTCCTTTAATGAATTAGTAAAATTCAGGTATTCATAGGAAACAAAGCCATGTGATGGCACCTATGAGGGCTAATCTGCAAGGTCTGCCTGTTTTTAGTGAATGATTAACCCATCAAGGTGGAACATACAAGTGCATGCAGACACATCTTTACCCATCAGCCAAGTGGGTTAAGAACAATATGATCCAGTGTTGCCATAATATTGACTCATGATTTGATAACAGATTTCATTTAGGATCCTCTTTACATAAGATTAATTACTTTAAATAAGAAATCTTCACTCAAGCAAGCAAATTGCAACCTACATCTTGTCTCTGTTCAAATCCAATAAATCTCATGTCCTTCCTGTCACTTATCCATGGAGACAATCTCTTCCATTTAGTCTTGACTGAAGATTGGGGGATGCACAAACATGTGATGGTAAGAGAGAAATACATCATGTGAAGATCGTCCTATTTGTTTTTTCTATTGGCGCGTGGAGTTTGAATGTAAAGAGGGGGCTGTCCTTTTTTGAGTTGCCAAGTGCTCTAGTTTTCTTATATGAAATAAGCCTTGATTCACAAGATGAAGGGGATTATTTATTGTATATGGAACATACAAGATGACCGCAAGAGTGAAGATTTCTTGCAGTTTACCTTTGATTGTGACCATCTTGGTCTCTGAGGTGTAAAAAACAAATTCGATCAGTCGGTCCTTAACCGGCTAACAATCTAGTCTTGGTTTAGTAATTTCTAATCTATGCTGTCATAAACCTGACAAACCTCAGTAAAAAGCACTTTCATTGCCTACTTTCATAGGATGATTAACCAAACAAGGTGGAGCATACAAGTGCTTTAACAACATGGTCCAGTGTTGCAATAATATTGATTACTTCTAGAGAGTAAATAGAAGGCCTTAACTCAAGCAAATTGCCACTTGTACCTTGTCACTGTTAATATCCTATCAGTTTCATGTACTTCCTGTAACTTATCTCTTCCATCCAGGGATGGATCTAGGCGGGGGCAGTCGCTCCCACTAAAAATCTAAAATTACCTTATATTTTAGATTTTTCTATGGACATAAAATTCTGCGTCCATCCCTGCTTCCATCTACTTCTCAATGAATGCAAAACTATGTGATGGTAGGAGAGAAATACTGTTACTTACCATGCATGGTTGATAGACTAAAAGATACCAAACAATGAAACGGCATTGAACTTTGGAGCCTTGAGAAAATTAGATTAAGACTTGGAAAATAAATGAGCATGTGCCATTACTAGTTCATCTGCAGCTGCTGGTGCAAAGTCATTAAACTGTCACGTATAAAAGAAGAAAAAAAACCTTAGAAAAAAGTAAAGGAAAGGGGAGTTAGATTTGTGAATCATTGCTAGTACTGATGAGGGAAGAAAGTTGGCCTGCTGAATTAGTTCAGGTCACATTGAGAATTTCTTGGAAGGGGCAACCTTTATGCATTCAAAGTGAGAAGCTGACAGTCATTATAGTCTGAATTAGCAAAACAAGTTCATGAAATTGGGGGTCATTCTAACCTCTTTCAGCATCTCAACTGCAGGTGAACTTTGACCTTTCAATTCAAATGCATTCCTCAATGGTACCAAATTCCAAATTCATCCTGCAGCATTTGGCCCTTCAATTCTGGCGAACAAACCAGAAGGTTATCACTGATGGATGCAAAATTTTTAGCAGATTAGTAAACAAATTCTAGTCATGAACACAATGGCCAGTAAAATTTGTAATTGGCCTCAAGGGAAACTATTTGATCAATGATTCCACAACCTATTTATAAAGAAATCAACTATGAACACTCCAAGAACGAAAGCTTCCATCAAACATAGCCAAGCACAAGTAATCTATAATCACTACTAGTTACCATCAATCAAAGTTGTATAATTATTTTGAACCTACAATGAAAACCCACGAGCTAAATCAACAAACTATCTAAAATCACTAACAACAAGTGTAGAAATCATATTAACTGTTCATGATAGTTAAAAAATGCCAAACCCAGATTTAGGAAAACCCATGAAATCGAACATCAAACTAAGCAGAAAAACGCAAAGATGGTCAGAGAAAGAGATGGAAACAGAGCAGCAGAAAAGAAAATTGAGAAAAATAAATCGGGGGAAGTGAAGAAAAAAATTTGGACCATTTCTCGATTTGTGCGTGTCATCCTTGCGCAGGGGCCATGCTAATCTTCTCTGTATCGTTCCAATTTTATCGGATGTCCCCGAAGGGACACACTAACGTATCTGTTTAGTGTTTATAAACTATTCGTTTTCTCTTTCCCTTGCTGGTGTGGGATATTTAGTTGGTTCCCAACTGAATCGTGAATATGCCTTATCTCGTCTTTATAAGGTCCTAACGTCTGGGCTGGCCCAGACTTGGTTGCTGCACAAAACAAAAGCTATGGGCTTGTGGATGTGGCTGCAGACTGAGACCCTTTTATTCAGACGTGATGTATTAACCTAAAATATATAGATTGGTTTGGATTGTTAGTTTAAGATTAAAATGGTGATAATTGGTCAAGTTGTTAATGATCAATTTATGACGATTTTCATCAATTGTATCCAGGGATCTACTCATTTTTGCATGATCACAAACTTGTTTATTGTTTTGATTTCACAAGTAACAAAGCTGAAAGATTTGAGGCCAAGTCACTATCTTTGTTTATGACACATTTGGGTCTTCAATTCTTGGATGATGAACTCAATTAACTTCTTTAGGCTTCTTTGAAGCTCCAAATCTCCAGAACAATGCATTAACAGGAAACACCTTAGAATTGCCGAATCTTCCAAACATGAATATGACCATCTAAGTATACAGAAAAACTTAAAAAATATACAAAATACCCTTTCCAGAAACATATCTGCATCTAACACTCACCCCGAGTGCAACTCACATATGTCTCGATTAACATCATCATTCAGGTCCTGCAAGAATGTCATGTTGTCAACTTGAGCTTAATCTTTGGGGCCTTCCATTCAAACTTGAGCTGAAAATCTTGTTGTCAATTTGTTATGACTATATACAGAAATGACAGAAAGGCTTAGTTGGATTCCTAAACAAAGCGACAATACTCGGCAATGACTTGCATGCTCTGTTTGAATGACTTGCATACTCGGCAATACTCGGCAATAGACGTCTGTATTGGACATCCATGCTCTTGACATTCTCATTAGCTGAGATATATCATATTAGTTTCTAAAGATCACAGTTGCTGATGCTCGAGAAAATATTGTGTAAGGTCACAGTTGCTGTTTCCAAGAAACGCCAAGGGGATCACAAAATGTCTCCGATCCGATGTGTAGATAGCCTTTATCAACCGCTGATGATTTATCAGAATGACTTGCAATAGCTGCTATCTTCTGCCACTTTGTTGCCACTCTGATAAGTTTCTAACTCTGATTTCTAAATGCAGCTGTTGTGCTTCACATGAGGCAGTTGAATTGGGATGAAATATATTATTTGATTTCAGGTATCCATAGGAAACAGAGCCATGTGATTGCAGATGTGCGGGCCAATCTGCAAGGGGGCTTGCCTGCTTTTACTGGATGATTAGCCCAACAAGATGGAGCATACAGGTGCCTGCAGACACATCTTTATCTATCTGCCAAGTGGTTTAACAGCAAAATGGTAATATTGACACTCATGATTAATGAGTTTGAATAGTAATAAGAAACGTTCAGCGAAGCAAATTACCACCAGTTTCTTGTCCCTCAGAAATCCTATCAGTTTCATGACCTTGCTGTCACTTATCCACGGGGACGATCTGTTCAAAATAGTTCCTAACGAAGTCTGAGGGATGCAAAACCATGTGATAGCAGGAAAGAAATAGAGCATATGTGTAGATTGAATGTAAAGAGGGAATTGCACTTTTTGCTCAGACTCTTATTTTTTTTAATGAAATACTGGTGTCTCACACTTGGATATGAGACATGGTGCTTCCATCCATCAATACATCATTCCATGCATTGCATTGGATTGATATAAATAAACCAAAGTTGATGAGAACCGATTTACATTTTTATCTGTTCTACTTTCTAGAGATGATCAATTCAATTGGACTGAGGTGAAGAAAACACCCAAAGATTGAATAGAAGCCATACACAAGAGCTTTTGATTTTATTTTTATTTTTTCTGTGGAGTGGTGATCAATGCAAGCCGTTCATTATGTTAAAGACAAAAAAGTACAAGGACCACAAAAAGGTTCATTGAAAAGTATAGTACTAAAACAAATTTAATTGCCTGATATCAATTGGAGATGCAGGGGATCGAACCCTGTACCTCTCGCATGCAAAGCGAGCGCTCTACCATTTGAGCTACATCCCCCGATGTCTTTTACATTGCATGCTTAATTAATATTTTTTTTAAATTATTTCTTTTATGGACAAAATTAAAAAGGTCTACTGCATTTCATGAAGTTAGCATTCCACAAAGAATTATTTACAGGTTTCTTTCGTCCCCTTCTGGGGTTTAAAATTGCATAATGTTTTACATGGTAAATATGTTCATAATCCACAGACGAGCATCCATGGCCAGTGATTGAACTGAGCATTGCTTTCTCCAAATCCTAGCTAATCCACGCTATACCAACAAGAATAAGTAACGCCAAGAGAGTGTTGGTACAAGTGGTTGGAATTCAGGAATTTGACCTTGTAAGGCCAAGTTTGAATCCTACCACCACCCCTGACCTAAACTTTCTGTAACCAAAAAAACAAGAATAAGTAACTGACTGTGACAGAATGGCACGGTAAATGTTATAGTCCCATCCACTTCCTTGCCAATTTGATGAGCTTCTTTGTGCTAACCATGCTTGATTTCCGACGATGAAATAGATGAGGTTGAGCAAGATGTCTGAAATGGTAATTCTAATGGTGAGAAGGCGAAGCCATTGTACTGATATTTACACAGGCACAGAGAAAACAAAAAACCACATTATCTGTAGCCAGTCAATCTGCTGTGAATCTCCAAGAAAAAGGGTATACTTATTTCTAACAAAAAGGTAAAGAGTTTAAAACCGGTGGCACTGCACATCTCGGATAGTTTATGTAACTAAAACAATCACATACTGATATTCATTAAGTGATGGATTAACGCAAGCAGGGACGGACGCATGATTTTAAGTTAGGAGGAGCTAATTGAACTTATAAAATTTTAAGGGGACAAAAATAAATTTTTAATAAAAAAAATCTAATATATATAATAATTTTAGATTTTTAAGGGGGCGACCGCCCCCATCTGCTCTCCTAGGTCCATCCCTGAATGCAAGTGAATTAAAAGATTCACTTCAGGGTACAAAGATGAACTAACTTCTCTTGGAATGAATTTAACCACCAGAATTTGACTGCTAACAAGTTCTGTTATAAAAAGTATGAAACTACAGTTTACATAAACAGTTACATTTTTGTACCGAGAAATGTCTTTTAATAACCACTACAGTAGTGTCAAGCATTTACAAGATTCAAGACCATATAATGTTACTCAGAATCTGCAAACAAGTGGCCTTTGATTTGCATGTCCTTCATGGAAAAACGGCAGCTCCTATGCATGATTTTCCTAATTGATGACGTACGCACGCGCACACACAACCATGAACCGTTTGTTGGCTGTTCCACCACTCTCGGTTTCCCTGTTGGTACAAGTGAACTGCTAAACGCCACTGTCAGTTAATCAAAATGGGAAAATTGTTGTTGCTAAAACATTTAAGACGAGCATTCCAAGTGCGAGCAACCAGACAGGAATTTAAATAACGATTCTCGATCGAGATAACACCTATCATATAACGATTGTGGTGTCTTTTATGATCGTTATTATATGATCGCAATACTCGTAATCAGTACAATAATATTCGTTACTACCGCAATCACGATATATATAATGCGACCGAAAAAGCAATTTGAATCCCAACATTTTTGTGCTCGACTTTGACCTCCAAAAGGTTAAAAGAAAAATGAAGCGGACATTCAAATTTTCAGGCAGATGGATTCGACAGCTTTGCATTTTTGTGCCCGTCTAGCTCAGTTGGTAGAGCGCAAGGCTCTTAATCTTGTGGTCGTGGGATCGAATCCTACTGAGGGCAATTCATAATGGAGGTCTTCCACGGAAACCCCCATTACATATGGGAATAAGATCAGCTAATTTTTTACTGTCAGCAGCAATAAATAGAGGGGGAGTGAATTTCTTTTAAAAAATTTAAATTATTATATATCTTATAAATTATTTATATATTATTTATTTATAATTTATTTTTAAATTTTAAACTTTTAAAAGTAAGTTTTAACTAACATAAAATCAACGGTGGAGTCGCAACTTGGTGAGAGTGAACACGTACTTATTCTGAAATTCGAATTTTTTTTATTAGGTATTTATTTTATTATTAGTGTCTTTCCTAAAACTTTTCGTGCCTACCATAAAATCCGAATTTTCTTCAATTGATTACTTATTTTACGGATAATATTCACCCTAAAATTTTATTTATACTCATCCCATTTAAAAATTTTATGACTTTAATATATGTGTCTATTTTAAAAATTATTTCTGGATCCACTGCCACATAAAATCCTACGTAAATATGACTGTCATCTCGAGCTGTAGATGGTGGTGTCCACCAAGGAATCCATTGCCAAAGTTGTTGTACGTTTTGTTGAAATGAAATGGACGTTAAAGCTAAGCAGTGGATCCAACTCGTAGCTTTTCTAAACTAGACAATGGTCCTTCAAATCACGACTTTTAGATTAGGGAAGAAATTTGGGACATTTGAGTTAAAACAATAGGGTAAAGTACATACAATAATCAATAAATTATATTAAAATAATATATTTTTCATTTAACTTTTTAAAGTTACAAATATTTATTAAAAATCATTAAATTGTCATAAAACATTAGAAGTTATAAAATAATAATAAATTTTAACCTATTTAAAGATATTTTGTACTAATTCTATAATAATGTATCAAATTTAATGACCATTTTATAATTTTTAAAATACAGAGATAGAAAAAGTCATTTTACTATAATTTAATAATTATTGGTGTATTGTATTCTAAAATAAAATTTTACATTATATTAGGAAAAAAATATTTTTATTATTACATAAATATCTTGTGATTGTGTTTTGTATATAAAAACATCTAAGTAAACAAATTAATTGTTACTACTATAAACACGAAGGAATTAATTTATCATTATGCGTAAAATAATAAGGGCAAAGTACATACATGATCCTTTGACTATAGGATATTGTTTTTATTAAGTCTTCTTACTATTAAAAGTTATCAATTGGTCATCTAACCATAAGGAGTTGCTTTGTTGAATCCCTTAACTATTAAAATTATAAAATAGTCACTCGACTATTTATTATGTTTCAAACTTTTCATTTTATTTTAAAAAAATTTGACGACAATTTGAGTTGTACGTTAAATTGCTGACTAAGATATAATAGAATGTAATCTCATAATATCAAACGACTATCATATTTCAGTCAACATATTAATTTCAAACTAAGATGATTGTTAATTTTTTTAATGAAAAATGATGAGTTTGGAACATAATGAATAGTCGAGTGACTATCATTTAACTTTTAATAGTCGTGGTTCTTTCATAAAAATAGTCGGGGAACTCAAAAAAATAACTCCCTATAATTAATAAATTATTTTATAACTTTTAATAGATAAGAGATTGAATGTAATAATATATGAAGTAATATCTTATAATCGGATCATATAATATATATATATATATATATTACCCAAATAATGATTGTACACCTAAAAGAAAGTTCTCTTTTGGCCATAGCCCACACAACAGCTGTTCAAGTTTTGGGAATATGCTTTCTTTAGAATTTGTTCTTATCCTTCTGCCACTAACTCACACGCAATCATCATCATCATCTTTAACAATCTCGTGCCAGTTAAGCCGCCACTACAGTGGTAAACAAACTGTGTTATGGTATTTTTGCGGTATGATTTAATTAATACTAAGTAATTGAGGTTAAATCGAGAAATGATCTAAATTTTTTGACTACACGTTTTTTATTTAACGATTTTATAATTATGTATTAGATACTTTGATCAAATTAATTTATATATCTCTTCTTTTTCACTATTTTTTAATTTAGTTTATCTCGAGTTTATCTCTTCGAAAATGGTAAACGATACTTTTTTCACCTAATAATTCGTAGGCTCAACACCTTGTGTTACTTACGCATGACACCATCCTATCCATTACAATAATATCATCTATGTGGATTCAACCTTAAATTATTTATTTATTTTCATGTTAGAATATCAAAAATGCAGAAAACATGGGGAACAGAGATGAACCTCAAACCCTACTTTCGCATACAAATCCATCAATCCCACCGTAAAACAGAAACACCCAAATGAAAAGCTGCTCTGTTTTAGAACACACAGTCGTGCGTTCTCGTTTATTACAAGCAGAGCTGTTGGGTATCGTTTGGGTAAATTACACTTTTCATCCTTCAATTATTTTATTATTCTTATTTTGGTTCACTAAAGTTTATAAATTTCAATTTAACTACTTAACGTTTGAATTACTCATGTCTTAGTCACTTTATCTTATTTTATTAATATTTTTATTATATGAATTTTTTATTTTACTAATATATGTGCTATATAAGATTAAAATAATTAATTAAATGAAATAAAAGAAAAGTTAAGACAAGAAGGAAGAGAACCGGAGGGAACTGTCGAACGGTAAAAACAATTATTGTTTTTCCCCGCCAACCTGAAAACGATAACTGGCCCAATACATTTGATCACTCGGAGTTTTTCGTCACAATCTACAATATCAATGATTTTCTTTACTCGTCTACCGAATAAGATTTCATTATGAAGGTGAAGATACTTGTAATGTAAGAAAAATGTGATGAGATAGATTTTATAAAAAATTATGTGGAAGCACATTTCATCGTTTATTAGAGAGATATGTCAGAGAAACTTAAATCATCTATCGTTATTAGACAATTAGTTAAGATTACATCACTAAAGTTTATCGAGAGAATGATCTAATGGAGACCGGAGAGGATAATTATACTGTGGGTAACTTTAGGAGTGATTAAAATGAGAATAATTTAAAAGTTGAGTGATTAAATTTAAAAGTTTAGATTTAAGTGACTAAATAGAAGTGAAAAGATAATTGAGTGAATATCAGTGTCATTTACCCAATATGTTTTCTTTACTTTTTGTTTCTTGTCTCTCCGCGTTTGAGCAAAATTACCTTCCTCTTTCCTTCACTAAGCCTTGTTGAGACATGGCGAACAGAGTTCTAATCAGAAAATCCAATCCCCTGCTTTCCTCGAAACTGCTGACCTGTAGTCCACACAACTCTCCCTGCTTACTACACTATAAATGAACCCATTATCAACGCTTCACTTGTCACTTACATTTCTCCAAATTTCCACACAAATGGCTCTCTTTCTCTGCTTCTTCCTGTTCCTCCTCCTCTCTTCTTCTTCTGCTTCTGCTTGTGATCGCTGCCTGCACCACTCCAAGGCCGCTTACTTCTCCAACGCCTCTGCTCTTTCAGGTTAAGCTCTTATGTTCTTCTTTCCCTTTTTTCCCCACTTCAATCTGATCAATTCTCTTGCTTTTAAAACGAAACTAACAAATACCCAGATCGTATTTATGTGAGAAATTTAGTGGGTGACCTTTGTTTTCTGGGTTTGATGTGTTGCAGCTGGAGCTTGTGGATACGATTCCTTGGCATTAGGCTTAAGCGGTGGTCACCTCGCTGCTGGCGTTTCGTCCCTTTACAAAGATGGAGCTGGTTGCGGTGCCTGCTTTCAGGTTTATATAATTCCCCAGCATTTTGTTATTGTTACTGTAATTGGAGCTTGAATTTTTAGCTTGTTTTCGGCAGATAAGGTGCAAGAATCCGAGTCTGTGCAGCAGTGCAGGGACTAGGGTCACACTAACCGATCTCACTCAGAGTAACCAGACGGACTTTGTTCTTAGCAGCAGAGCTTTCAGGGCCATGGCTAACAAAGGCATGGGCCAAGCCATCTTGAAACTTGGGATTGTCGACGTTGAATATAAAAGGTAAGCACGAACCATAACATTCATTATGATGCTATTTTTTGGAAGTTTCTTCATCTTATTGGTTTTGTTTATGGGTAAAATGAACATAATCTTTGATTATTTATTTGTGAATTGCTCATACAATGATGGTTTGTGTTTTTGTTGTCAAGATATGTTTATTTATTAAGTTAAATATAATATAATTAATAAATTTTGTATGTTCATTTGATAAACGAATAAACATGAATAATTGTATGTTTAGTTGGTTAATTTTTTACAAACAAACTCGTTTAAAGGCTTGTTTATTAACTCGACTAAGCACATTTATTTGGTTCTCTTTTTCTTTTTCTTTTTTATATTTTAAATATTGATAAAAAAAATAGAAACTAAATCGAACCCACGGTAAACTTTAGAATTCAAACCGAGTCTTAAAGAACTTAAAGATGCTAGCATAATTTCATTATTTTTTGACTTGCAAATAAAATAATAAAAAGAGAATGTTGATTGACACGTGAATTTTAAATGAACATATTCGTGAATGTCATACGAACCTAACACTTTTAAAATTAAACAAATACAAAAACACACTTGTTCACTCAAGTTCGATTCGTTTGGTTATGTGAAACAGGATACCTTGTGAATACAAAAACCAGGACTTAGCTGTTAGAGTAGAGGAATCAAGCCAAAAACCAAATTACCTGGCGATCAAACTGCTGTACCAGGGTGGTCAGACAGAGGTAGTAGCCATGGATATAGCTCGGGTGGGGTCGTCAAACTGGAACTTCATGAGCAGGAACCACGGTGCAGTGTGGGACACGAGCAGGGTCCCGGCCGGTGCACTGCAGTTCCGATTTGTGGTCACGGCTGGGTTCGACGGCAAGTGGATCTGGGCAAAGACTGTGCTCCCTGCTGACTGGAAAACTGGGGTTACTTATGATTGTGGAGTTAAAATCACCGACATCGCTAAAGAAGGTTGCTCTCCTTGTGATGACGGCCATTGGGGATGAAATTAGAGGATCTTTGATTCCCCGTTACACATAAATTCGATTTGTCTCAACATATAGTGAAATTTTAATGGTTTAGAAGATGGATATATGTAAATCTTCCTTTCTCTATATTTTTTCTACATATTTTTAGCCCCTCAAATTATGATTTTACATAATTTTAGCCCCTCAAATTTTTTTAATGTTTTTTAGTACAAATGAAAGAAACCATTAAGCTGGTTACATTGCAATTTTCCTGGGGGCATGCATTTTCATGTATTCGTGTATTGGTGACCTCTTTTGCGGTGAATAAATTTCGAGATCAAATACATAATTTTTTTGTCGCACTCTTAAAATTAAAGTTTCGTCTTGACTAATCTCTATTGATCCGCGTCGTATATTTGGTTTTGGTTGGTAAGTCTCCCGGTGGAAATTTTCTGCATACATAAAGACTTGAATTCGAGGTCCGTTTAAGTAATATCAAATTATTTGTCACTTAAATCAATCCTGTGATAAAGAGCAAATACATATTTAAACATAAATTAACCTAAAATGAAGAGGGTACAGTATACAAATTGCCTTCTGACTATAGATTACTACTTTGTTAAGCTTTTTAACTATTAAAAATTATAAAATAATCATATGATTATAAGACATTGTTTTTTTTAGTCTTCCTACTATTGAAAGTTAAATAATAGTCAACCGACTATTCATATGTTCCAAATCATTTTCTGTTAAAAAAATTACGGTGGTGATCAGATTTTGGGATCCACGAAATACATCACAAACAATTCTGAGATCAGATTTTATCGTATCCCAATCACTATCATGTTGTGATTGAGAGACTGAAATAAGCTTTTTCTTTATTTGCTTAAATCGTGTGAGAATTGAAACTACCATGTGATTCTCCAGAATAATCATATAATTAGAACTTAAAATATTGTTTCGATATCTTCAACGGGACAACAGGAATCCTGACAGCAAAGATAATCAATGACTAGTCATCTCCCATGATACCCAAAGTAATAATGTTTGCTCTATGAATCATCATGTATGTAACTTGAGATGGGTAACATTTGGTAAAACTAACTTAAAGTCTGTGGTGTTACTTACGGTGAGAATGTTGGAAGTAGATTTTTTTTACCAAAGTTGCACTGCAATCATTCTGGAAAGATGAGAGGATACTGAATTTCTTTGGAAAGAAGTCTGTATGTAGAGTTTTTTGTTCGAAAATTGTATACATGTAAAATATACATTTATGTGCAACTACAATGCCAAGATTTCAACAGTTGAGGATGTTGAGAACGTTAACTCTAGCTTTGATCAAACGCCTAAAGAAGCTTTCAAGACCTTCTTCTAGATCTTGGATGCACATCTCTGAGTTTTGGAGCTTGTTCTGCACATCCCCAACATTCTTCATGTTTCCAGATTTAATCATGGAATGCAATGCAGCTTCAGCATTCTCAATTTCATTAGCTTTTTGTTCTACTTCCTCGCACAGTACTCTTTTCTGGTGCATTAGCTTTGAAACGAGTGACCACCGGCTCGATTTCAGTTCGGTCCGTGGCCTTGAAATATAGGACAACAAGGATTCTAGCACGCTGATGGTTACTGCCTCTACTTGTTTTAAGGAGCTAATCGCAGCTCCGGACTCACCATCTCTGCTGAAGGAAGAGGTGCTAAGTTTGTTCTCCATATGCTTCAAGTTCTTCAAGGCCTTGGAGATTGCCTTTCTAGCTGCCTTCCTAGAGGTCAAGTATTTCCTAACCTCGTTAGCAAGCCCTTCGACTCCTTTTCTTCGGCGCAAAATTGATTGAAGTTCTTGTGTGCATTCCTTTGTTTGCAGCAACGCATCTTTCGCAGTTCCTCATACATCCAGGAGCACGAGAGATCCATCCAAAGTTCATCAACCACTTTCCTTTGCTTCTCTTGAGCTAGAGCTTGTTGAGTGAGGGGCAACTGAAGAAACATATCAACATAGTCATACAAATCTTGAAGACAATTCAGTTTATCTCCCATTGATGACGATGTAGAGGCCGATTGAGATGCCCTCTATCGGCTCACATTTTCATCAAGTGATAGGTGTTGCTTTGAAGGCAAGCTGTTTGAGCGAGCATGGAAAGAAGGCTGGACATTCAGAGGAGATGCTGCCATTTTCTTTGATTCAGAGAAGAAAGAAGGCCCTGAATTTTGTGTTTCAGTTCTACTCTAGCTATTTTGTCTTCCCATTACCATCTGCTGAATATATATATATATATATATATATCAAATGTTTCATTCTATTACCTGAATTGGCTTGAAAATGTTTATATTCTGTATCTTCATCACCATCAACTACAACTCATCACTAAATTAAGTTAATACTATGAACAACTAAAAATTGTTCTGTTCTGCTTTATTTGTCCTAAAATGAAAGAGAGCCAGGCAAGTTCGATCACTGGTGATTCCCCTGTCCCCTTACAGTAATGCAGAACAAAATTTTAGTAGTGCAACATGCATGATTCTACATAAAATTTTGAATCAAACTTGTGAATAATGTTTTTTGTTCAGTTTCAAATAAATAATGCAACCCCATATCACCATTTCACACCTTCTCGTTTTAAATGAATACCTTATTGGAGATCGTGCAAGAATTTGTTGGTTTCCAGGGCGTTTAGGCCTTAGAGACCCATCTAACAACTCGCCAATCTATCTCTCGTCCTGGCCTTAACATAATTACAAGGCACAAGTGGGGTTGATTTAGTTCCTTGAAAACCAGTTTGCCCTGTGCCACTCGTGCATATCTTGGCCAAGATTTGTTTCGGTATGGTTCAACTTCTAGACGTGTGGCTATGCTTTAATTTCTGTTTAACCTTGTTGATAAAATTGAATAACAACCACTGGCTGTGGTTTTTGGTTATTGGCCAAGAAATCTAACTGTGAGATTATTATAAAATTTATTTGATATTGTTCGGGCCAAAAAGAAACAACATACCAGGCTGAAATTTTCCTCTATGGGAATCCAGGCTTGTTGTCCCGCTCATGCTATCAATATGTTACTATACAAGGCAGAAAATAAACAACAATTGTATGTGGTAAAGAAAGATATAGATTTGTTCATTAAATTGTTTTCATTTATGATTGATTAGATCAAGTATACATGTATTTTGAACCATATACAATGATGTACAGAAAATTTGTAATTTTTTCTTTTTCTCAGATGGTATCTGATATGATTTTCTTTAGGCTAATGCCTATTGGCTAAGGATGTTGAGAACAGAAACTCTAGTTTTGATCAAGAGCCTCAGCAAGCACTCCACTCCATCTTCAAGATCTTGAATGCTTGACTCCAATTTCTGCAACTCAATTTGTGCATCATCACTGCTCATTTTTCCAGATTTTCTGGTCTTGATACCAATGACAGTGCACAAAACTGCATCCACTTTCTCGAATTCGTTGGTTTCCGTTGCTTTTCCCTCGCATGTTACACATTTAGAGCTCATCAAGTTAGACACCAAAGACCAGTTGGTAGATTTTGATTCCATCTTTGACCCAAAGATATAAGAAAAGAGAGATTCAATCACTGTGGATGTTACTCTTTCTACATCTCTCAACATACTAAATGTGGTTTCACCATCGTTTTCTACATCTTTGCTTTCTTCCTTGAAGCCAAGTATTCCTTAGCTTCATTTGTGAAACCAGCTTCATTGCCTTTTCTTCTTCTCATAATTGATTGAAGTTGTTGAGTATCTTCCTTGGCCTGCAATAGAACATCCTTGGCCATACCACACACATCCAAGAGTTTGAGAGACCCATTCAACAGCTCGTTGACCTGCTTGTTATTCCATTGTTGGGCTAATGATTGTTGTGTCACAGGAAGTTGAAGCAAATCATCAACCAACTCATACAGATCTCTGAGGCCACTTAGATTTCGGGTCATGACGGAGATGATGAAGAGGTGGATTCATTGGACTTTTAGCCTACACGGTTGCTCATCTATTTGAGTAACAAGTGGATGAGGCCGAGAAGGCAAGCTGTTTGAACGAGCATGAACATTGGATTTTTGGTTCAAAGGTGAAGAAGCCATCTTTTTTTGTCTTAGACCAACAGGCTAAAGGCTTAGATGTACAATTTGATCCACCTTCCCCTTCAACCCTCAAGCTCTGATCATATATATTGGTAATAGGGGAGACAAAAGGAATCTCATCTGCAACCTCCATGACTCCTAACGTGATCCTCATCCGAATCTCAATAATTTTGCTGCCGATGTTTGCTCAATGTCTCCCACCTCACCCCAAGAAATCTGTGACCAAATTATTTATATATACATTATGAGTCGTCACATTTTTTTAGAGAAATGAAGCCTTAATTATCGTGCAAGAGTGGCACTGTGGCCCTTGTCTCCTTTCATGTGCTCTTCAACATATATTTGTGGTGGGGGACAAGATTCCAGTGATGCTCGGGCTGATTTCAATAATTTGCTAACTAAAAAATATAATTACAGTTACATACAGGGTTGCAGACGAGAAATAAGCGGCCACATTGCATGTACGCCTGTAGGTGAGGCAGGACTGCAATGCCGGTCATGCACACTTGAAATCTGAAAATAAACAACGATGAAACCTCACCGACTAATCGACACATTATTGCAGAAATTTTGAAAAGAAATGCTTCGTAGCATGGACATAAAAGCGATGGATGGAATTTAATACTTTCTGTCCACTATCTTGTTCTTGCCACTGCAACAGGATATAATATAAACTCCATGGGTTTCTTTGCGCACGTTTAAAAGACTTTCAACCGAGTTGCAAGTAGAGATGTTGAGAATTTGGCATTGTTTCATCTAAATAACAAAGAAGCAATTGTTAATCAAATGCACGTGTTTTTATTCATATAGATTATTCATTTCCAGTTATAATAACGAGTTGGGGTATTATTATAGAAAGTTTCGTTGTATGACTGTTCCTAGAAAAGATATTTTATCATGCAATTATATTATTAATACGTCCACTGATGCATGGTTTTAAATAACAAAACAAGGGGACGGACAAGATCCACTTTCGTATCCTTTGCTCCCTTTCCTCCTAACAGAACCGAAGACGATATCGTGATTGACAGACTGAAATAAGCTTTCTTTATTTGCTTGAAGCGTGTGAGACTTGAAACTACAATGTGATGTGATTGTCCAAAATAATCAAATTGTTACAACTTAAACAATTGTTTCAACATCCTCAACGGGACAACAGGAATCCTTACAGCAAAGATAATCAATGACTAACTATCTCCCATGATACCAAAAGTAATAATGTTTGTTCTACAAATCTACATGTATGTAACTTCAGATGGGTAACATTTGGTAAAACTAACTGTAAAGTCGGTGGCTTTACTTACAGTGAGAAAGAAGTAAACTTTTTTTACCTTAGTTGCATTGCAATCATTCTGGAAAGATGAGAGAAGAGATTGATCTTTGTGGAAAGAAGTCTGTGTGTATAATTTTTGTTTTGAAAATTGTATACATGTAAATTATACATTTATGTACAACTGCAATGCCAAGATTTCAACAGTTGAGGATGTTGAGAACATTGACTCTAGCTTTGATCAAACGCCTAAAGAAGCTTTCAAGACCTTCTAGATCTTCTATGAACATCTCTGAGTTTTGGAGCTTGTTCTGCACTTACTCAACATTCTTCATGTTTCCATATTTAATCATGGAATGCAATGCAACTTCAGCATTCACAATTTCATTAGCTTTTTGTTCTACTTCCTCGCACAATACTCTTTTCTGGAGCATTAGCTTTGAAACTAGTGACCGCCGGCTCGATTTCAGTTCTGTCCCTGGCCCTGAAATGAAGGACAACAAGGATTCTAGCACGCTGATGGTTACTGCCTCTATTTGTTTCAAAAAGCTAATCACAGATCCGGTCTCGCCATCTCTGCTGAAGGAATAGTTGCTAAGTGTATTCTCCGTATGCTTCAAGTTCTTTAAGGCCTTGAAGATTGCCTTTCTCGTTGCCTTCATAGAGGTCAAGTATTTCCTAATCTCATCAGGAAGCCCTTCGACTCCTTTTCTTCGGCGCAAAATCGATTGAAGTTCTTGTATGCATTCCTTCATTTGCAGCAATGTATCTTTAGCGGTTCCGCACACATCCAGGAGCACCAGAGATCCATCCAAAAGTCCATCAACCAATTTCCTTTATTGCTCTTGAGCTAGAGCTTGCTGATTGCATGTACCGATGTATGCCAGTAGGTGATACAGGACTGCAACGCCGGTCATGTACACTTGAAATCTGAAAATAAACAACGATGAAACCTCACCGAAAGAAATTTTGAAATCAAATGCTTCTTACCATGGCATAAAATCAAGGGATGGCATTTAATGCTCCCGTCTTGTTCTTGCCACTGCAACAGGACTCGGAAAATTCTGAGGAAAAAAAACTATGTTAACAAGGGAGACCAAGTGAGTTGGAATCGGTCACTGGAAACAAATTGACAAAAATTGTTCGACAATATTATCCTTGTCAAAATGAAAGCAACATAAAATTACAAAGTACCGCCATTCTTGATTGTCTGTCAAGGCTAAAATGCATCTGTTGGAATGATTTAACCAGTAGTGATGTCAGGTTTCAATGCAATTAAACAAGGCTTGAAGAGCCCCTCAGTTCATCCAAAGACTAAAAGCATTCTGAGAGCAAATAGAAGCACTCGGATATGTTACCGTTCAGGTTCATCCGAGAAGAGAACGAAAAGATTTCCCGATGATTTTTTCACACTAGTTTGTTCGTTCAAATTTTAGGTGATAAATCAAAGATAATTGCTTCTGTAACAGATTGAGAATAGCTTCAGAAATTTCATTAACAAGAAAGATGTGTATTACATATGGCTGAAATGGTGGAGCATCCTTATTAAGCATAGCATATAATGGCAAACATGATGTGCAGGTACACACCATCACGAATGAGGGGAAATTACACATTCTTTGCTACTTCATACAATTTCAATTTGAAATTCGATTTTCAAACTCAAATTTTTACACACTTTTTGCAGCCTCAACGTGAAAATGGTACAGAAATGTAGAATGAAACAACACTATTTTTTGTTCTCACGATCCCTTCACGACTCGTTGCTTCTTTTCTTCAAGGCCGGTAGCTTCATTCAACATGTCTGCGGCATCTTTGTGCATGTCTAGTTTGGCAAGAGCAACTGATTGCATATAGAAGGCAGTCGCCCACTCCGGATTCACAATCTGAGCCTGCATTGCATCTGCAAGGGCAGCATCTGGTTGATCACAAAATAGATAGCACAGGCTGCGTCGAGCAAAAACAGTCGGGGAGACCATGGTTCCGACATCTATGAACTGCACAAAAAGAAAAGGTATCCATAAGGCTTTCATCCCAACTCAAGACGATTAAATACCGGACTTGGTCTTAACATTTGCCTCACTACATCAGGAGTAAAAAAAAACTCAGATGCTGAAGTCCCTAAAAATTATAACCACAATTACATTAGAGGTCATTCCGGTCAAGAATAGCTGCTTGATAATATCATAAATGATTCATGGTAAACAAAATTTAAAATTTTCAATAAATTATATCCGGCGGAGAAAGTTACAGTATGACCACTGTACAAGATAAGAGAAGGAAAGATGACGAGCAAACCAACAAACAAAAGATTCCATTTATACAATCCAATTTTCCTTGAACTATTGAATTATCCAGTCCATAAATAAGCAAGATGACAATCATGGACAAACTCTCAACTAAGCAACATATGGTTCTTGACAAGTTATATAGTTTTGATGTTATACCTGGGAGTAACAGTCGATGGCTGTTTTAAAATCTTTATCACGGAATGCGTAGTCCCCACGCTTCCTAGCCTCGAGCATATCTCTCATCTGCTGGGTCCACTCTTGGAAAGATAACTGAAGCAATCCATCCACAATTATATGAACTTCTTAGCACGAGAGTAAAGAAAATGGATTTAAACGTTCACTTAAACAAGTCATCACCTCATTTGTCCCTTCATCATCCTTGTAGTGATTCGTCACCAGTATCTGATGGATTGCTGTAAGGTCAAGTCGTGAACAGGCCTCACCCATTGGCGAAAGTGAACGCTGCGGAGTTGGTGGAGCTTCCTCATATTTTGAGATTCCAAGCATAACATAAGATGGAACCTGAAAGCCAAGAGATACAATAATCAGGATCTAAAATGAAAAGCATGCTCCCCTGGACTTCAAAAGCACACCCTCAAAGTAATATGTTTAATGTGATTAATTTCACATCCTTTTTTAGCTTGAGGATGGTTCGAGGTAATAATAAGCAAGTAAAGAATATACAGAAGAACGTTAAGTATATTGGACAACTCTGCTACAACACAACAATTTCTTTATCAGAAACCATATATGCAAAAGGTTTTCAAGTGTTCACAAATGGAAATAGATGTAACCTCCCGGTTCTAACTCTTTGGCTCACCAATAAAGAAAGAATAAACTGTTACGAAATTGAATAGGTAAAGGCAGCAAAGTTCCTTACATCAGGTTTGGTTTGCAATGGAGCAAGTGTGGCAACAAGATCCTTCACATTGGGCCGTTCCCTGGGTTCATATTGCAAACATTGAGAGGCAAGGCCAACAACCACAGTTGCTTCCTCCATAGAAAATTTTCCCTCTAAATGGGATTCCATGAGGACCGTGATGTTTTTACTCCTTATCATATCGAGTGCCTGCAAACATGCAAAGCATCCAGTAAAACCATAGTTTGTAACCTTTGAGATTAATGCCTGGCTCATAGTAGAACAGGTAAAGACATACGCAGCTGTTTAATCAGGAAAAAATGTGAAAAAAGCATCATAACTGTTCACCTCATGATCTCACAATTTGAATATCAAGTTCCCATTTTCATGCATTGCAAGGGGCCATAAATGATTCCGTGATGCGGAGAGTTTGAAATTGAAAAAGGACAAGAAAAGTACACAATAATACATATGGATCCCTTCTACCACAAATATAAACCACTTAAATCCACTTACATGACTAGGAGGAATGTGCTTCCCACTAAGCAGATCGAGAATAACAGTGCCAAAGCTGTAAATAACGCTTTCTGGAGTGACTCTCCCTACAAGAAGCATAGTTTCGAGAAAATTCAATGAAGAGAATCATGCAATTTGAAAAAAAAAAATCATGTAACTCAGCGAAATGCACTAACAGATCAGTTTATCATATATCTCGAAATAACCAATAAACCATTAACACTAGAATCCATTTTCATAAAAGCCTGCCTCTAGTTCCCTGTTTGAATTCTATAAAGAAACGAAGATCTTTAGAAGGTGCAACAGTAACTGTCGAAACTACAAGAAGTCTGCTAAAGTTGCAATCCTGACACCATTCATAAAGTTTGCTCAAACATCGCAGAAGAACATCAGATTGAAACACAAAGGAAGATAAGTCTTTCACTGGGAATACATGCATGAAGTGCAGCAGACCAATTATGTGGAGTAACATTAGTAAGGACCAAACTGAATTATTTCAGATATGAGTAACAAGATAAATCCCTTTGAATTTGAACAAGCAGAAGAACAAAGAACAAGTAATTTATGACAGTAAAAACTAACCACCAGAAATAAATCAAATAGGAAAGGAATTACCATTTCTTAGATACTCGGGAGGTGTGTATGCAAGATTAGTGCTATAACTTTTACCATCCCTGCTATTTTTCATCAAGCCAAAACATGAAAGGCGCGGATCGCCATCCTACAAAATCCATCAAAAAGACATCAATTACAGCTCTGAGTGGTATTTAATGCTAGAGTAAAGAAGCAAAAAAGTACATACATCACAAGAAACCTTATATTCAAGAGACCAATACCTCATCAAAAAGAACCCTGTAAGCATTTAAATCATGGTATAATGGATGGCCCTCGGTACTACAATAATCTAAAGCTTCGGCAATGCAGGTAGCTACTCTTAAACGCATTGCCCACTCGATGGTTTGATTTTCCCCTGTATAGTGTGAAAAAAGACTCAAATTTAAGCTGTGATAAACAGAAACGTCCAGACATATTATCAAATTAAAAACATTTACCTAACAAAAATGTATATCAAACTTAGTAAGCAAATCAATCTGTAATTTATTAAATACGATTCAGTAAGTATTCAGGTAACTCAACAAATTAGCAAAATTTTAAAACAAAAAATTCTTAGTTAAACTGTTTATGGCATGAGCTGAGTTACATAAGGCATGACCTTGGAAACAATTAGCAAGAATTGAAAATCAAGCAATTAAAACATGAGCAAGAAATTAGAAAAATTGAACAAGAACAAAAGAAAAAAAAGGGATTCTTCAAGTTAAAAGAGAATGGAAAACTGACAATGGAACAAATGCTTAGCAAGTGTGTCATTAATCATGTACTCAGCAACAAGCAGCCTTTCATCTCCATCACAGCAATACCCTATCAAATTTGCCAGCCTCCTGTGTCTCAATTTCCCTACTCCACAAGCTTCCTCCTAAAACAAATCCACACAAAAAAAACCCACTTCAAATATCCCACCAAATACCCAAAAGAAAAAATAAAGCAATAAACCAAAAATAAAGGTAAATAATAGTACCACAAACTGTTTTGAATCAGGCCAAGCCGTCTTAGTAAGCTTCTTAACAGCGATCCATTTCTTGTTCTGCAAACGACCTTTATAAACAAGATTAGGAGCTTTTTCCCCACTTTCAGAAACTATGTTATCTGAACTGAAATTATTGGTGGCCGCTTTAAGCTCAGCCAAGGAGAACTCGGAGAAAGAAGGGACTCCATTAGCAACAACCGGGTCGGTTCCAGCACCCGGACCAGCTTGGTTATGGTTCCGGGGCTCCGGTTTCTGTTGCTGTTGCTGTTGCCGCCTCTGGTCTTTCTCTGGGTGGGTTTCTGTTAGAAAAGACGATTGACAACAACCCATACTTCAGCTTTGATTGAAAGCTTTCACTTTTTGGCTTTTGGGAACAGAATCATGAGATGAAAAGAAAAGGGTTTTTGGTTTTTGACACATATAAGAATGGGTTTAGGACTTTGAAGGGATTTGGGTATCTGTCTTTGTTGCCATGGCTTACTTGTTTTCGGTCGTTTTGAGCTTGTTTATGTTAAAGGTTTCTGCTTGTCATTGCCGGGACTGTTGCTCTCCGACCAAGATTTTCCTGACAATTGTTTAACTCGTTTATGTAATAAACTGAAGTAGTCGATCATATACAACTTTAAGACTTGCCAATTATTTCTGACTATGTTGAGGTTTATTAGGCATTTAGCCTAATAAATTAACTGAGCATTCAGCGAATAGTTCGTGAATTATTCGGCAATAAATTAATTTATGTTCGTTTATTTATTAAACAAATGAACATAAATAAAATTTTGTGTTCATTGAATTAAATGAACGAACATGAATAAAGGACTCGTTCATTCATTTACGTTCATGAACGTTCGTTAATATGTTTATTTATGTTCGTTCGTTTATATCCATTTATGTTCATTTATATGCGTTCATTTATATTTAGTTCAATCTCTCTAGATCCATTTAAAATAGTAAAGCCTAATAAATTTTAATTTGATACCCATAAATATTTTAAAATTCAATTAATTTTAAATACAAATAAAAAAGCTCAAAATAATTAAATAAAGTACAATCCTAAATTGTTAGGAAAGAAAAAATATATATTCACATTTATGTTCGTTTATGATCATTTATTGTGGTCGTTTACGTTCATTCGTTTGTGTTCGTTAACATTCGTTTATAGTATTCATTTATATTTGTTTACATCCGTTCGTTTATGTTCGTTCATTTGTGTTCATTTATCATTTAAATGAACGAACACGAACAAACTACATTCCTTAACGAACGAACATGAACAAGAAAGTTTTTGTTCGTTTTATGTTCGTATTCGTTCATTTGTTCGGTTAAAGTTAAACGAACGAAATGAACATACTCCGTTCGTGTTCGTTCGGTTCACTATAGACATTAATAAACTATCAAAGAAAGCATATAAATTTATAAATGAAGAGAAAATATAATAAAATTATAATATCAATAAAATAAAAAAGCTAATTATATTAATAAATTATTTTCTTTAAAATTAGTAAAGAACACAAACCAATTACCTTATAATGAAATGTTAAAAAATAAATCAAACTACTCAAAACATCATTTTCAAAAGTAAAATATAATTACCATAAAACCTTTCTATCATAGGAGGAACTTTGGAAGTATTAATTAATATTAAAAATATATATTTTTAAAAAATAAATAAATAAAAATTTATTAGATCCCTCATTTTAAAAAATTTATTTATGAAAAATTTAAATTGAGGCTTAAATACTCAAAAAAAAATTAGATAACAAAGTGATCATTTATATGAACATTGGGTTAATTTCATCATTATTTGTTGTCATTATGCCATTTACAAAATATATACTAAAAGGTGTCAATGGACTTACTATTGGAATATTTCAGCTGTCAAGATGTAAAACACACAGAATCTGTACTCATAGAAGCTGTTCTCCGTCAAGCTGGGAACAACTATGGCAAAAACAAAACATGGCATCTAAGTGTAATATCTCATCAGATCAACCTGGTCATGACAACTCAAAACCAGATATTCTACAACGCATGATAACACATTTGCAATGGTCACTGCAGGTAAATTGATGGAGAATTTGCAGTTTGCAACACTCAAAACTGTCGTCTATAAAAAAAATTATTGTAATTTAATTCAAGATGGAAAAGAAAATTGCATTATAGTACAACATTTGATTTTGTAGGTATTCCTGTGACTTGCATCACTCTGGAATCCTCGAAACCACCTAAATTTAAAGCTCTTGATCATGCAAAACTGATGGAGAATCATATTACTCCGATGCTTTGGCTACATTGGCTGCTTTGGTTTGCAGAAACATGCCCCATTTTCTTCGATGAAAGAGGAGGTGCATGATTCCGAATACGAGAGTTGCAATTCTCCTAGTGAGGCACCACCGATAAGTTCTCGCTTCTCACCATCCGTGTGAGCAAATGTAAAATAAATATCTAGGGATCTCGGCATGCTTCCGACAGTTCTCAGTTGGCAAGGCGTAGCAACTTGTCCCTCCGGACCTCTCTTCACTTGTGCATCAGAAGCTTGTATGAATCTATTGTAATCAGATAGGCAGATGGTGAATCATTAACAGCTTAAGCTTCGTTTCTCAAACAGCAAGACTGCAATTGTAGCCACGATTCATTTTCTTACAGCCCTATGAAACTCTCTAGCGCTCTTGGGCAAATCTTTCTTTAACACGTTGCAAAAGCTCCTCGTAGGCTTTGGAGGACTCGGAACTGAATCTTTCCATCGCCTCGAAAATGCGTTGCAAGCGACCCTGCAAACTAATGTTGCTAGTGTCACTCTGATACACAGTTTGTCCAGCTACTGAGAGTCCATTACCATCTCCAGAGACCATAATGATTTTTTTATCCAATGCTTGGATCTTTTTCTGCAACTTTTGATCCTCTCTATCCAAGTTCTTAGCCTCTCTCTCTAAATCCTTATTGGTCATCATTCTCTTATGCATTTCCGACTTATCTTGTTCCCAAAGTTGAAACATACTCATGGCAAAAATCCGCATGGAGTCGACCACCTCCCTTTCAGATATTCTATCCATTGATTGTGACCACTGATTACATATTACAAATATGGGGGGTGCACCTACCCTGCTAGGTGAGAAGGGAGCTACTCCATCATCGGTAACTTCGGGTTCATAGTAAAGACATTTCAGAAGCCAATTGTTCAAAGCCCTGACATAACCCTTCTGGGCACCTATCCAACTAGCGAACCTTTCAGTCCAACTAATAAGTTCATGTTCGAGCTGAAAAGTGGCCTTAAGATGATCATCGCTAAGCTTTTTGCCGGATCCAATAGAACCTAAACTTTTGGCTTCTCTAATCACCTGACATTGACTACGATGGCATTCAAGCATGCGTTTCCACATTATGTTTAACCTAGAAACGAAATTGCAAGAAAACAATTAAGGCAAAAAAAAAAGAGAGTAAATGGTAAGCAAATATTGGTTTGTGGAGTGACGAAAAATTGTACATTCCGCAAAATCAAGGAACCTGCTTCACTTCACTTATAAAACTCCCTCTAACAGCAATTAATTGGTACAAGCCCAATATGATCATTAAGTTTTCCCAGTTAAATTTGTGAACGCGGTCTCATAAAAGTGTATTTGAACATGTAGATTGTGCGAGAGTTTTGCGTACCTATTATATGATATATAACGATGGAAGGAGCATTTTGAAATACTGAAATGAACAGTCGCTTCGACACTCACTCAGTACCTTATTGTACCTATACTGCATCTTAATAGAGCATAATACAGCACAGTCTCTACGCAAACTCTATCTAGAGTTCAATAGATATAATCTCAAGCACTATATTGGAAACACAAATAATAATCTTAGAACATGGTAACTAGACATTTTAGGCCAAACACACCAATTCGTATCTGTCAATGACTCAATGTTTCAAACGTCCACAAAGGGGGGGGGGGTTTAAGGAAAAGGAACAGAATGTGTCCTAATAACTGTAGTACAATTTCTTATTGGGGGCAGATTTGGCATCTTCTTTCCATTCTTTCTTTAACACTTCATACCCTTTAAAGAACTCTCAGGCCAGTACCCCCATTATTGACATCCACCGCTCATCACCGTATACTTTTACAAGCTTCAACAGCTATGACAAGAGATTCCTAAATATTAATGCAAATTACTAAAATGCCAAAACAATGTCATGATGCAACCAATAAAGATGGCAAAAGGATTCTGATTAAAAATGCTAATTAAAGATATCAAATGACAATCAAAATGGCAAGGCCAAAAGTAAGATGCAATTATGTCAGTTAATAACAAAGAACTAGCAATGTACGTGGAGAATGAAGAATGAGATAGAAAAAAGTAAAAGAGTTGAACAAGCAAAAATAATACCCTTCAATCAGTTCATTGAGCAGAGGCCATAGCTCCTCATCCCTGATCTTATTAATTGTCACAGATATCTTGTCAACAACTAGAATTGCAATTCTCATCTTTGTGGATAGGCTCCTGATCATATGCCGGGTTGAATCAATTTTGTTTGCTTCAGCACCCCTTTCGTCTAGCCGTTTCAACTTACGGCATTTCCTGTCATAAGCCACCCGCATCTTCTCCTCGGCCTGCATTGCATCAAAAACTTCTAGCTCAGGAAAATCAGAAAGGTTATGAAACTAATAAAAGAGGAGGCATAAAGCTGCTCTTCATCCAGGGAATAACCAAGTCACAGACTCACGGTGCTCATAAAGTAATCCTAAAATGGCCGCAGAAATGACTTAAGTTGAATCATAATTCATGATAAAGCTCAAAATTTAACACCATGAAACCTATATCTCAGAGCAGTTGCTTTCAGAATATAAAACAAACTAAACTAAACTGAAATATAAAGCAACCAAGTGTAAAACCAATAATAATAGCCGTGAATCAAGTAGTTTGCACAGCATTTTGAGATAATCATGAATCTGATATTCAAAAGAGCAGATGTGTAAAGGACTGGGAAGTGGGAAGAAACAGATGCCAAGTGCAACAACAGGCAATACAGCATAAGGCACAGTATACCTTTACTTCATTGTAGAGTTTCTTTTCCCACATATACAACTTTTGCAAGGTAGAGGAAAGGTTTTTCTGTTTCCTGGCCAATTCTTCATTTAATTCTAGAAAAGCCGGATCGGTATTGTCAGCCGGGGATGAAGACTCATCAGTCTTAGAAGTAGATGGTTGAGATGATACTAATGATATTGAAGGAGTAGCTACATGCAACATCTTGGAAACTGTTGCATGAAAATTCCAAAACCCACAGTTAGAAAACTCAATCATGCTGCAAATCAAGAACCCATACTTATAGCAAAAATCAGAACTTTCCAATCCAGAAGAGAAAAATCGATAAAAGCAAAAACACAAGAATCCTGTAAACGTAATGAAAATCATTACCATGTTTACGCTGATAAGGAAGTGTTCCCACCTCAAGCAACTTGGCGATTTCATTCCCTGACTCAGAAGCTCGAACGAACTGAGCCTGTAACTCGTTAACCACCTCAAAAACATTCCTTTGAGGACCTTTTGACCCTTCACCACGGTCCTCGGCGGCGCGTTCATCACTCACAACTTTCTTATCCACCACGTGAACCCCATATTCGACCCTATCA